AAGGAAGGAAGGAAGGAAGGAAGGAAGGAAGGAAGGAAGGAAGGAAGACAATCAATGGAACCCTGTCAAGAAAATGTATCAAATTCACTAGAGGGAAAACCATTAGCATTCCCTGTAGAAAAATCATTACTTAGCACCAATTTCTTTGACTCTTGAGTTTTTCCTTTTCCTTTGAGTCCTTGGCTGTGAGAGGCTGTGGGGCTCAGCTTAGCCTCATCAATACTTTAATCAGGAACTGAGTGTAAAGGGCATGTGAACAAATAGCAGCTCACACCACAGAGGCAGCTCCCCTGGTGGGACATACTGCCATGGGGAACATGAGGGACCCAGAGTCTCTTCTTGTCCTCTCCAGGCTGCCAGCTTTACTCAAAGCGACGAAGATGGTTGTAGAGTGACTGCACATAGGTGAAGACACACATGGGGTCCGGCTTGCGGCCCATCACCATCATATCCTCCACTTCAATGAGGCGCTCACAGTTGGCCAGATTCCTGAAACACAGAAGCCCTGTCAGAGCACGGTCCAACCAATGCCACAATTGAGTAATTATTGTTACTGTCCCCAAATAGAATTCACCCGGAACTTGAGGGGCTCAATTGCACACCAGAAGGGAATTCAAGTACTCCAAGAGAATCTTGGGAGCCGCTGAGTCCATGGGGCATTTCCCAGACTCGCATAGCCACAAACCACCTACACATGTCAGTATCACATGGCAAAATCGGCAAGAACTGTGAAAGCAAATGTAAAATTGAGGCAAAATGATAAATTCACCCATCTGCTTCCTCAAACAGTATGCTTGTTTTTCTTTCTTTGTTTGTTCTCTTTGTGTAGCCCTGGGTCTCCTGGAACTTGTTTTGTACATCATAGCTGGCTTCAAACTCACAGAGATCTGCCTGCTGGCTCTTTTTTTCTTTTCTTTTCTTTTCTTTTCTTTTCTTTTTTGAGATGGCAGCTTGCTGCGTAGCCCAACCTAGCCCTAAATTCATCATTCTCTTGCCTCAGCCTCTTAAATTATGGGATTATGATCATGTACCTTCATACCCAGCTATGAAACAGTCTTTTAAACTTAAAAAAAAAATTATCCAGAGGAAATGAGAGATGGCTCAGTGGTTAAGAGCATTTACTGCTCTTCCAGAGGACCTGAGCTCAGCTCCCAGCCCACATCAAATGACCCATAACCATATGTAACTGCAGGCTATCTCATCACTTCTGGCCTCCTGGTAACCTGAACTCTCGGGCACATAACCACATGCAGACATGTAGACAAACATATCTACACATAATTAAATAAATAAAAAGACACAGACACATAAGCAAACAAAAACCATGACCCAGCAAGGCATTTTGCCCCATGACTTGGAAGGCAGACACAGGTGGATCTCTAAGTTTGAGGCTAGCCTGGTCTACCTAGTTTGAGGTCATTCAGAGTTACACAGTGAGACTCTATCTTAAACACAAAACAAAACAACAAAATAACACCATGACTCACAGGGCTGGAGAAATAGCTCATTTGATGCTTGCCTTGTAAACACAAGGACCTGGTAACACCACTAAAATACACACACACACACACACACACACACACACACACACACACTGTGGGGGATGGGGGCAGTCAGAGACAAGAAAATTCCTGGGGCTCACTGACTAGCCAGTCTAGCCTCCTTAATGAACTCCAGGCACCTGAGGAATGACACCTGTCCTTTGACCTACCCGAGCACATGGTTAGACACACACACACACACACACACTCATGCATACACACATGACCCATGGTAAGGAAGGTGAGTTTAACTATGATTCAGCAAACACATACATCAACATGGTGTTAATCCGCTGTAACCACAGATTCTGCATTCATGGATTCAAACTTTATGTCAAAAATACTAAAGACCTGATGCCCTCTTCAGTCCACCTGCATGCATGTGAACATGCATACCCAAAGACACATACATACACATAAATAAAAATAAGGTGTGGTGGTGCACGCCTTTAATCCCAGCACTACTCTGTGACTTCAAGGCCAGCCTGGTCTACAAAGAGAGTCCAGGACAGTGACAGCCAGCACTACACAGAGAAACCCTGTCTCAAAAAAACAAAAATAAATAAATAAATAATCTTAAACATATATATTAAGGAAAAAGTATATTATTACTAAAAATGTAAACCCATATAGAACAGCTCCTGGGGAGATGGCTCAGAGGGTAATAGTGTTTGCTATGAGGACCTGAATTCAAATCCCCAGCACCCACATAAAAAGCTAAGCATGGCCAGGCATGGTGGTGCACCTGAGTGCTCCTAGCCCTCAGGAGGCAAAGGCAAGAGGATCTCTGTGAATTTGAAGCCATCTCTGATCTACAAAACAAGTTCCAGACAGCCAGGGCTACACAGAGAAACCCTGTCTAAAAAAATAAAAATAAAAAAGCTGATCATAGATGCACAGGCCTTTAACTCCAGCACTGCAAGAGCAAGGACAGGCAGGTCCCAGGAGCTCACTGACTAACCAGCCTAGCTGAAATGGTGAGCTGCCAGCTCAGTGAGACCCCGTCTCAAGTCACTAAGGCAGAAAGCAATAGAAGAAGACCCCACTGTCTTCCTCTGCATGCACACACGGGTTCACATACTCATGTGCATACATCCATGCAACACACACACTTCAGAGCAGATAACGGGAAAAAGAAGCCTGGGCATGAAATATAAACTGCTAGCTCGGTGCCAACACGGACAATCCTTTCAGCCCATTTCCTGGGCAGTCAGTCAGAGTACAGCTCTGCTTACCCTTGACTCCCAGGTTTGTTGGTAGGCTATGCTTCCATATTGTCTTTATACACTTTGCTCCTCCAGAGCCCAGCCATATGGGATACACCAGCAGGCAAGCCAGGGATCCTCAGTCCCCATCCCAGAGCTCGAAGCCAGCTCAACATGATTCATGCAACATTTTTACAGGACAGCTCCCTGAGCTGTATACTCCCCAAACAAAGACTGTAACATTAGCACTGCTGGGCTCTGCTCTGGAGGGCTGGCCAGAAACCAAATGTCAAGACGAAATGGAGACATCTGTCCCTGATCCCATCCCCGCCTCCTGCCTCCTCCTGGGGCTACAGAGGGTGACTTGTAAGGGTACCCAGAGGTTACATGACAATGACAAGTAGGTTTGGCACTCTTTCTCTCCAAAACAGACCAAGGTAGGGCTTGGTGTCAGAGATGCCAGCATACAAAGGTGCTCTGTGGCCAAGAATTGAAAATTCTTGAGTCTTTCAGAGGCTGGGGACCTGAGTTCACCTTCCAACACTATAACTTGTAATCTGGTACCCCATTCCCACATTGCAGGGAGAACCCCAACTTCCCACATCCACTCTCTCTCTCAGACCTGCTATTTAGAAATGCCCAGGGTCATCACTGACAGTGGTAGCTAAGATGGTTCCTTTGATGGTCTCTCATATTAAATGAGGGCAGCACTAGAAGCTCAGGACCTCAGCTTCGGAAGAGAACCCACACACTACCTTGTCCCCATGAAGGTTCTCCCTCCCTCTGGTCCAGGACTGTTCTGACCCCTCCACAGGAGCTCTGGCCTCCAGGGAAGTCTCTCATGTCAAAGCTTTTCCTTGGCTTCCTTTATATTTTACCTCTTACTCCTATATGACTGTTCTCAGCTAACTTTCCTCCCATAAGAAAGCCCTTCACTTGTTTGAACAGAACCTTTGTACCTGTATCTTTCCTTAAAATGAAATCTGTTTCCTTAATTGCCCTCCCAAAAAGAGGACATTTCTCCCCTGTGTGCAGTCTGACTCCTCTCCTGGCCACTTCATGACTATTCAGAATTGCTTGCTTATCCCAGATGTCCCTGACCTGTACAGAAGACACCGAGCAAACCCCTCCTTCCTTCTAGAGACTTCAAACATGGTCCAGCCACCACCCCCATGTCTGGCCCAGGAGCAAGCCCTCCAGATGAGGGTAGCCACAAAGATGGAAGCAAAGGCCTCATCCTGGTGAACCCTCCACTGCCTTGATAGCAAATCATGGACAAGGTCCTGGCTCTCCCTGCAGGTGAGTAGCAGACTGGCCCCCACCCTACCCCACTGTTGTTTCTAAGTGAGCAGATGGGGTGGGAGTGGGTGCAATTTCTAAGAAAGAGAATCACAGCATGAAACACGCTGCCAGCATCAGCACTCTTTCCTAGACCACCTCTGCCCTTCACTCACTTCCTTCTCTAAGGACCTCCAACCTCTCCAGCCTACAGGTCCAACAGTATCCCTGCCTTTTATGCCATTGTCTGGCCTACAGCAGACCCTTAGGGACATTTTCCTTTCATCCAGCTTGTTCTACAGATAGAACATGCTTCTTCAGAGACGCTGTGGTGCCAGCTACAATGGCAATAAGATTCCACGAACTGCCAAACAGGAAAGCATGAGGTCATTTGCTTGAGTGTGTTTCAGCCATCTATCTCCCAGGAGACAGAATGCAACACAGTGACAGGTACCACTGACTTTTATCAATAGATATGTCTCAAAATATTTGAAGCCCCAATTGGCCTTTACTTTAAAAAAAGATGCTTTTGTTACAATGATCCAGGCTTGCTTTAAATAATCCAGACTACATGGTGAAGACACAAAGCTCAGATGACTTCAAATGTTACCCCACACGGTGACACTGAAGCACAGTGACGCTTGCTTACTACTATGCACCTTGAAGGGTTTCTTTTACTCTCTGTTGCATCTTCAGCTACCCCAGGCCATGGAGGAGGGGCTGGGGGTAATTTTTAAGACTTTCCTAAAAGCAGACCAGGGGTGGGACTGCTGCCTTCCATCTGGTTTTAGACAGAGACACATGAGCACTACAAATAGCACTCAAGCCCCTTCTGTTGCTTGTAACTGGAGAGCAGGCACATTCCACGCAGGGCAAGTAGGGAGCCTTGGGCTACACGTCCTGCAGCTTCCTGTGCTATGGGCAGGAAGGAAAAGTGCAGAAGGGTCAGGCACACACCCTACTTTGCCCCTTCCATAAAAGGAGCTGGTCTGCCCTTGTTCCAGGCCCTAAACACCTGTCAGGCAAGGGACAATTTTGCTGTCAGCAAGGCATCACTCACACAGATTAGGAGACAAGGAACCTCTGGGCCCATAAATTACAGGGGGGAGGGAAAGCATACACATTTACTCCCAAGGTTCCTGGTACATTTTATGCCCTGAAGATACTTGCTCATGGAAAGTTCTGGAAGCATTCCTTTCCTGGGTGCACAGACTGGGAATACCATCAATGGGTACTTTTTCTTCTAAAGGTCATGCCTTGGTTGGGCTCCTCTCAGCTCACTGTCTATTTTCAAAACTGTCTTTTTGAGACACCCTCTGCATTGGTGGCTCCAAGTGACTTTCAAGGGTACCATGTATCCACTCAGATGTTCCTGGCTAAGATGCTGACATTGGCTCCAATATCCTCAGGCAAGTGGCCAATGCAGCTTGTCTAGCCAGGGATTCCAAGAAACCAGGGATTTAGGCACTGCCTTCCCAGGAGGCCCTGGGAAGCAAGCCCACCTCCACAGTCCTCTCTCCCTTGTACCTGAGAGAGAATCACAGATGACTCATAAGGGGAGGGACCTTCCCAGGCTCTGAGTAAGCTCCCCACACAGATCCGCCTTTGATGGCCCTCCCTACTCTTTGCAGTCAGCAAAAAAAGCCAGAACTCATCTCAAAGGCCCCATCACAACCTGCTCTCCTCCCCAGCTGGGAGCAGACTCAGGTCACAGGGAGGTAGGGCCAAGGTCCTATTCTGCTGTTTGCTTGGAGAGAGAAGGAAGCCAAAGCCTGACCCAATCACCACTCCCCCCCCCCCCAGTTGAGAATAGAAGAAACATCTGTGTGAAGTCTAGAGACTGTACTCTCAAACCTCCTGCTGAAAAAGCACATCCTGGAATCACTCTGGCCCTAACTGCACAGGGAAGCTATGTTCCTTGGAACATGGGGCACAGGGCCACCACCACATTGCCCAAGACTGTCCCTCTCCCTGCTACAACACGGTTGGATTCTTGGCTATAGGTGACCAAGGTGGCCAGGGCATAAATTGGCATTGCTTAACTCTCTAGGCTTCAAGTCAAAGAATTCTATAAACCAAACCTGGCCTCTCTGACTGGGATGAGTTTGGGGGTACCTAAGTGGGAGCCATGACCCCACACATTGTACTCTGATTTCTGACAGCTACCATTTCTGAGTTTCAAGCAGCTGGGCCTCCTCGTATGAACCACTCCTCCCGACATCATGCCGCGACACTTGGCTTGAATCCACCATCGTCTGGATCCAGTTGCATAACACACTCGTCCAAGCTGTTTCTGCTATTAGGATGACAGTTAATCCCAAGCAGCCAAGAAAGAGAAGGCTTTGAAAGTACACAAGGCATTCCTCTGACCCCCAAAGGGACCTAAAATCCAAATCGACATAACAGTCATGGACCCCTATCCCCAAGCCTCAGGTTGAGGAGCTCCAAGCCAGAGCCCCCATTCTGCCTCTATAGGGAGCATTTCTGCCCTAGAGAAGGACAGTGGCCGTGGCTCCTGGCAGGCTTCCGATGCCAAGCACGGGTTATGAGACCTTCTGTCTCCTATCCCCTCATTCCCTATCCTGGCTCAGGTCCTAGTGTGGAGGACCAGAACTGGGTGCTTGGGCTGGAAATAGAATCCAACCCAATAACTTGAGAACAAGTGGAGATGGGGGACCTGAGGGCTCAACTAGGACAAACATAGTTCCTCACAGGTAGCAACAAGAGGCACAAGGGCATAATGAATAGCAACTCTGGAGCTGGCCTTCCTTCTCTCTAGTATTCAGAAACCATCATGGAGTCCTGAGTATTACTGTCTGTACCCTGCTCTCTGCTTCAGGAACTGTGAAGTACTACCCTGTGGTGATGCCCTGACCATGGGGCATTAGGAGGCCCTGGGGCAAGGACAGTTGGTGCAATGAAGTCAGAGCATTTACCTGGGCAGACCCCTTCCAGCCAGTTCACAGTGAGCTGGCTGCATCCTCATGTCCACAGCTTAGCACCTCTTAGGCAGCCTCAGTTCCAGCAACAGCAGGCCCAGGGCTTACAGTGCTTTCCCCCAATATATCCCCCAGGATATAAAGAATGTAGGTCCAGGGTTTGAATATGTCTTGTGCTTAGGCACGTAACGGTGCTGAGAGGTAGTGTGGCTATTGAGACAACACTGCCCACCAGTGGCACCTGCCCCTTCTCATATCTGCACATAACCTCAGAAAGAGCCTTTATAAGAAACACGCTGGGCTGGAGAGATGGCTTAGGGGTTAAGAGCACTGGCTGCTCTTCCAAAGGTCTTGAGTTCAAATTCCCAACAACCACAGGGTGGCTCACAACCATCTATAATGAGATCTGGTAACCTCTTCAGGCGTGCAGGTATATATGCAGTCACAACACTGTATACATAATAAATAAAATGTAAAAAAAAAAAAAAAAGAAAAGAAAAGAAACATGCCCTGTGAAAGTGACTGTTTTTCTCTGTTGTTACTTTACTGGATTTGGAATTAGCATGGAAGAACAGCTATGGGCATGGCTGTGAGAATGTTTCCGAAGAGGTTTAACTGAGAAGAGAAGACCCATCCTGAATGTGGGTGGCTCAGTCTTAGGGGCTGAGTCCCATGTACCAAATAAACATGAGAAAAATGCATGGTGCATCAGCATTCCCCTCCCTCCTCTTTCTCTCTCTGCTTCCTGCCTGTGGATACAATGTGACCAGCCACCTGATATTCTGTTGCCTTCCCTGTCTCAAACTGTGAGCCAAAAATGCCCTTTAAAATTTTCCTTCCAGCTGGGCAGTGGGAGCAAACACCTTTAACGCCAGCACTGGAGAGGCAGAGGCAAGTGGATCTCTGTGAGTTCAAGGCCAGCCTGGTTTACAAAGGGCGTCCAGGATGTCCACACAGAAACCCTGTCTTGAAACATCAAAATAAACAAACAACAAAAAAATTTCCTTCTTTGGATGCTCTTATCAGATAGCAATAAAAAACAGTAACTAATACACACCCTGCCCACCTGGAATACACATCCTATCCAGCTGGAATATACACCTGTGTACATTCCTGTGTGGGTCCTAACAACACTCATGATCTGAGGGTTGCTCTTAGCCAAAAAAAACAGATCCCAAATGGGTTTTCCAAGCACATCCTGATCCTAGAACTGCACTCCCCTCCCCCATATCCTCTCCCTATGAGTAGGACATACAAGACAAGTGTCATGGTTTGAATATGGCTTGCCCCCACCCAAACACATGTTGAGGCCTGATCCCTGCTATGATGGTGTTGAAAGGTAGTGGGGCTTTTAAGCGTCATTTAGATCATCAGGAATCCACCCTTAGAAGGGATTAATGTGGTTCTCACAAGAGTGGGTGAGTTATCTCAAGAAGAGGTTGTTTTAAAGCACCAAGGCCCCTTTGTCCCCCAACCCCCCGACTGTCTGACATAGATGACACTTGGTCCTCGGCTTTCCATCATGAACTGAAGCAGCATTCAGCCCTTACCAGAAGCCAAGCAGACTCCAGCACCACGATCTTGCATGTCCAGCTTACAGAACGAGGAGTCAAAATAAACCTTTTTATGAATCACCTATCCTCTTATGTTCTGTTACACCAAGAGAAAACAAGCCTAAGGCAAGAAGTAATTTCACAATCTATGCTATGACAGTATTTAGGAAAATCTAATCTACTTTAAAAATATACCAGGCAATCTCAGTTTCCTGCTGAGGACCGTGACACCAGCCCAAGAGGATGTACCCAGTGCCCCTGCCCCCCTGCCCCCCTGCCCCTCAGGCTCTGTGTGTGGCTGGTTTCCCACACTGAGCATCCAGCAAGGAGGCAGAAAAAGCAGGAACAGCTCCATCACTGAGTAATGTGCAACCCTGGGAGCATCCTTCACCAGCCTCAGTCTTCCCAGTCACATAAGGGAAAGACAGACTGGATGGCCTCAATGTCCCTAAGCTCACTGGAAAGCTGTCCTGTGTGTCCTGACCTTACCCAGGGCAGTTGTGCTCAGGGTCTGGGCCGGGACCAGTAGCCAGCTGGAACCTGCCATACTTACTCAGCCATGGTGAAGGCCAGTTCAAAGTTCTTCTGCCTTTGTGTGGGGCTCAGAGCATTGTAGTCAAAGGCATCAGGAAAGAACGAGTGCACCAGGGCACAGAAGGCCATCCCATCGCTCCAGCTAGAGGAGAAGTTCTGCAGGTCCACATGCTGCAAGCAGAGAAAGCAGAGATCAGCAGGAACCCTACTCCTTGCACCTAATTAACTCTCTGCGCAGACTTTCCAGGCCCAGCCCACTGATCAGCTAACTCTCACTGCTAGACCTCACCCCTTAAGACGCACTACAGCAGTCTGCTCTGGTAGAATTTCTAAGCATGGGTTATATCACTGAGAAAGCATGAGCTCCCTGGCTCCCATGACTCCCCAGCGTGGCAGGATCTTGACCTGCCAGCAAGTCAAGGGCAGGAGAGATGCCTGGCTTGTCTCAGCCCTCTCACCTGGTAGCCCATAGTCTTGCTTCGGCACCATTCTAACAGGATCTGTTTGATGCTGCTGGCACTGGCCACACCAAAACTCTGTGACCTCTTCAGTTTGGCCCTGGTCTCACCTTTGCCCCTGTGAAGAGAGGGCAAGCCTGCAGTGGGAGCCAATGGAGAGAACAATCCTACACCTCCTGGTCAGTGTTCAACCTACATACTATAGCTGAGGTCACAGCATAGTGCCATACATCAGACGTGCAGCCTCCTATGCACACCCAGCTTTCTAGGACCCCTGTGAATAGTCCCACAGGAAGGACAGATCACTGGGTAAACCTGAGACAGAGGACTTTAATGGTATGGACCCCTCACTCTCTTCCTAAACTCTCTTCCTTCCCATTCTTTTCACCCTGCCTTCCTTCTTGGCTCCCAAAGTACCCAAAAGCAAGTTGCTGGGACAGTGGAAGCTTCCTGGATGAGATTCTTTCACTAGAAGCATGAGCAGCTACCTGCGCTCAGCAGGCATCAATACCACAGGCTGCAAAGGAGGCTGTAATTGAAAGACCTCACCTCTAATAGGGAGTGACTGGTGAGCCCCTGGGCCCCAACGTATCATTTCTTCTGTACTCAAGCAAGACCAGCCTGGCAGCTGGACCTCACCTGTCAGACTCCCAGGTAATGTAATGAATAAGCAACTATTCAAATGCAAGGATGGCCTGGAAGAAACTGAAGGAGCAGAAGGGGGAGGGCTATGAATGGAGGGAAGCATCTCTCAGTAGCCTGGCCCAGTCCCAAGCCCCACAGCCCTCTTCTCCCTACAAAAGAAACGCCTCAACCTCAAACAGCCCTGTAAAAAGCCCTGACCCTGAGCTCTGCCTGAGACCTGACCTTGGGAACATCCCACTAGGAAATAGTCAGAGCCCAGCCTTGCTGTGCTATGCCTGCCTGACCATGCCTGTGGTTGGGCCTGCTCTGGGAGCTAGCTCATCAGGCTAGTTTGGGGATGAAATATCCATACTTGCTTGCTGTCTCCTGCTCCCACTTCTCAAACAGCGCCTTTCGAGCCTGTGCCCCTGAGGTACGAGGCAGCGTCTGTGACCTCACCAATTCTCTGCGACGCTCTCCCTGGCGAGGGGCTTGAGTCATAGCTGGAGGCTGTGAGGATGGTGGTGACTGAGGTGGGGTCACCAATGGAGGGCTGAGGAGAAAATCATGAAGTCAGGAACACTGAACTGGCCCTCACGAGGCACTCCCCTGCGCCCCAGGTGGAACACCCATCCTGGGTGTGCACGCAGACAGCCTATACCTATGACAGACCCCTAGACCTTGGAGAAGCAGTGCAGGGAGCAAGTCCCACCTGCTCAGGTCCCAACTGGTTTTGCAGGTTTTCTGAACTGAGCTGCAGTTGGTAGCATACCCAGCGAGCAGGTCCAACTAGGGAGGGAGAGTGGCCCCCGCTCAAGGCACAACGACCTGGAAAGGTGTCAGGGCCTGGGGAGGGCTGAGGGTATAGCCAGAGCCAGGCCCAGAGCCCCTCCTCTACCATATCTAGAAAGGACCCTCATTGTTCTCCCCCTGGAACAATCTGCCAGAAAGTCACAATTCTCCTTTTATTATTAAAAAAAATAAATAAATAAAAAAAATCCATCTTACTACCCCGCCTCCATTCTTACATCCAGTCAGTCAGCCAAAGTTAGGTTTACCCCAAGGGCAGCTGTCTGCCCTAACCCTGGGCCTCTCTAGGCACCTGTTCTTCCTATGGCAGCAAGGACCTCACTCAAAGGTCCTCCAGCCCGAATGGAAAACAAAAGTTCGAATGTCATCCTGCCCACCTTCCTTCCAGAGAGGTTAAGACTTGCCACCCCCTAACACCAGCAACCTTTTAATGGACTTGTTTTGAAGGTCAGAGAAACCAAGCTGCAACCAAGCCTCTCCATACCAACCTTGGTCACCTCTTTCCCAGCTCCAATCCCTCCTACCAGCCCATTGATCTCTGCAGTGTCTCCCTAGACAGTCATCTAGAGAGAACCCTACAGATCATGTCCCAGGCAGAGCATAGCAGCCAGCAGAGCCATACACTTACCTGTCCTTCCGTTTGCCTGCTGTCACTGCTCCATACCCAGAGCCAGACAAAGACCGCATGAAAGAGGAATTTTTCTCTGTGAGACCAAGGAGAGACAGAAATAAAAGACTTGGTCCTACTCAGCTTCACTTTGTAGACCAGCAAGATCTAGGGCTCAGTAGGCAGTATCTCATGATAGTGACATCAAAGGAGTCCTTCAGACTGTCCTCTACCTGCTCTTGAGGGCACAAAGCCCAGGGTCTCTAACACTGTGTGACCAAGTACTGCTGCAGCCCCTCCTTGGGAAGCCAGGACAGCACCAGCCCGAGTCATACACTGGGACAGGACACAGATCCAGTACAGACTTGCTGGTGCTGAGGGGACATTTGACTGTATCAAATGTACAAGGTAACCATGGTCTCAACCTGCCATAAAATCCCCACTTAATGGCATCTCTGGAGAGGAATGTGGTAAGGGGAGGTCCCCTGGGACAGGGAATATAGTGGGCTGGGGTCTGACCTGGGTGTCCTGAGTCTCCTGCCAACCCCCACCCCAGCAGCCCTGTCCTCTCTCACCCATCCTGAGGTGGAGTCGGCCCCCATACCACCCTCTCATCATACCAGTGGGACTAGGAGTCCAAGGGCTGATGGTCTCACTAGGGCTTGGGCTGAAGCCCCCCAGAATGGCAGCAGATGTGGGTGATAGAGTTGAAGCTGAAGTCTCCCCAGAGAATTTCTCAGAGACTCGGGTGACAGCTGTGACAGGCTGGTGGGGCAGCATCAAGGAGAGGCTCACAGGGCGTGGCCTAGGGGGCTCTGGGGACGAAGAGGTTTGGACCTCAGAGGACCCATTGGCTGGACCTGTAACACATGACCAACCAGGGGGTGTCAGCTATGGCAGCCACAGATGTCTCAGATTCCCCCACATTCAGTTCAGGAGGACTCCTGCCTCTCGGAGCATTGATTCCAGCTCCTTCAGGAAGCCTTCCTAACCACTCCAGCATTCCTCACCTCCATTACCACATATATCTTACTGTACCACTCAGACCTGATTCTTCTCAACTTCCCCTGTCACCAGCCCAATAAATACTAAATTGCCTGTCAGTCCACTCTCTACCCACTTCTATGAATGAACAATTTTTCAGCCTCTGCTTGCTTTCTTCCAGAAACAGGGAAGATTACTTCCTTGAACTCCCATTTCTCTATGTATTTTAATTTCTTTTGTTTTTTTCAAGACAGGGTCCCACTGTGTAGCTCTAGCTGTCCTGGACTCAATATGTAGACCAGGTTGGCCTCCAAACTCACAGAGATTTGCCTGCCTCTGCCTCCTGAGTACTGGGATTAAAGATGTGTGCCACTGTGCCTTGCTCTCTGTATTTTAAAATTTCTACATACTGAATAAGGATGCTCCCCTGAAGTCTCTCTGCCTGGTGGGGTTCAATCTCAGGCACCTGCCCCCAAAGTCAAGAGATGGATGTCAAAGATGCCTGGCTGAGGCCCTGAGCCTCAAGCCTACCCAGTCACTTCCCTTCTGCCATAGGCACCTACCTGCACCCAGCTGGTGTCCATTCTCCATGATGCATGAATTTGAAGTTCGTCTTGCCTCTTGATCACTGGTTTCATCATTTTCCAGGCTCTGCGGAAGCACCAGAACCACTGAGCCAGTTGGGAGCCAGCTGCCCATCCCAAAGCCCCATCAGCTGCCTATCCAAAGGCACTTCCCCAAATCCCTTCTGGTTCTGGTGGCAAAAATCTCACTCATTTGGGGAAGAAAGGATGCCCCAGAAGGCACAGTGGTGAGCAATGGTCCAGAAAAAAACAGATGAATCCACCTAGCTCCAGAGACTCCCAGAGCCTGAGAGGCTCAACCCAGAGCCCAAAAAATCTGAGGATAAAAGTCAAGTTTGCAAGTTCTGAAGCAGTGTGTTAGGCACAGACACACACAAACACACAGGGCAAGGCTCCTGTCCCCCACAGCTAGGACTGTCCACATGGAAGAAGACATGGTGTTGTGCAAGGTCCTTTGGGGCCAAAGATGAACAAAGAGCCAAGTCACCCTGAGGCTTTTCTGCCAGACACAGCAACACTTCCCCAGACTACAGTGTGTATGGCTCTAGTTGGCTCTACATACCCTCTAGCCACCCAGAGCTACAGTAGGTCTGGAACACAGAAACAACACCAAGAGGAGGGCATCAGGGAAAATCCTGGGATCTTGGCTGAGCTGCCAGCCCACCAATGTCCTGAGTCATAGCCCATCTCCTCTAGTTCTCATATCAAGAGCAGGGGCAGGCTATGCAAATGGAATTTGGAAATCTAACAAACACTGGGTCCATTTTACAGATGCTACCTTTGGGGCTCAGAGATGGTACCCACTTCCTATGGAAGTGATTGGGGGGAGGGGGCAGCCAGAATGAGAGGAGAATGGACCCTCCCCTTCCCCAGCAAAGGTGTGATGGGCTTAGAGTGGCTATGACACTAAGGTTAGGACAATCAGCCTAGCAAAGGTCAACAGAAGGTGTCCCTAACCTGGAGTTCTGCTAAAATCCCATACTGGGTAGCTTGAATGGTTGGTTGGCTGTGCAAGATCCTTGGGAGCAAGATCCTTCCATGCTGTTCCTCTGATCTACAAGCTTCCCAGAAAACAGTCTGTCCCTGACTCCAGGTGAATTAGGTCCTTCTATACCAGGGCTGGAGGTGCCTGCCCACTCATCCAAAGTGGAAAATGGGCAGAAGAGTTACAAGATGGTATTGAATCATCTTGGGATACCAGAGGCAAAGACAGTTCTCCAAGCAATGCACCCAAAGCAAGTCTGCACTGAGCTAGGTAGCCAGTGACAGAAGCTGTTCTCAGGAGAATGACTGGAGGCAACAAAAGCAGAGAGACATAAAGGCCCAAGTATTGTGATCCCACAGGATCCTGCAGCTTGTCTGGGGTCCTTGGACTTAATCAAGGAGCCTGTAGTGTGATTTAGGAGCATACTTCAGAAGCCAACAAAGATTCCATTAAAGGAGACAGATAACAAGTCAACCCCACAGTCCCTGAAGGAGAACTGGGGACGGGGTATGGGGCCAAGGGCAAGAGTTCTATGCTCTGGAGGAAAAGGAAACTGGCTGGCAGAGTAAACAGAGGTAGAGGGAGGAAGGATGCCAAACCTCCTTCAGACTGCAGAATACTAGAGAGGGGTGGGCAAGGGTTTTGATTTTGGGCAAGATGATGTAAGAGGCACTTGGGACATCAGGTAGCATATCTGAGACCAAGTGTAAAACAAAGGAAGGGTGGGTGATAAGGAAACAGCTATGGCCTCTAAGGCTCCTGTGAGCCTTGCAGATAAGCACCTGCATCTCAGGGAGCCAAAAAGGCTGTCTGCCAGGAGAACAGAACACACAGCCAGGGAGGTGGGAAGAAACCCAGCAGGAGGTTGAGAGAGCCAGGGATGGAAGCATGTCCAAAGGGAGCCTGAGGTCAAGGAAAAGAAAGTCAAGAAGATGTGTCCATTGTATTTAGCCAAGGAGAGGTCACTGCTGATGGTGGTAGAAACAGAATCAGAGATATGAAGGGCAAGGCAAGAGACAAGCTGGGGAGAAGCTGAAGGAGGGAATATAAGAGCCTCTGCTGCAGATGATATCCTCCAACTGGCAAGCCCTGATTATGTGAGGAGCCAGGAAAGGGAACTCCAGTTTTCCCAGGATAGAGAGGCAGGGCCATACCGACAGGCTAACAGACTGTTGAAGTGCGGCAACCATCTGTACAGTTGGGAGGCAACAGAGGACTGAATCCAGAGCCCTGGGTTTTGGAGAGGAGAGCCCCCTCAATTTCTGATCTTAGAGAGGAGAGGAGAGAGGTAGGCCCACCCTCAGGATTATTTGATGTCTCTTGCACTCCAGAACTTGCAGGGAGGGGCACTTGTAGAAGCCTAGTGCTAAGTCAGCGGCAGAAATAGAACCAGCCTTTCCAGATGGAAGCCCGGCCTCCACTGTCACTGAGGCCAAGCAGTAGCTCTGGGGTCTCTGTATCGCCCTCCCCCACCCACTCCACTCTTGTCCAACAGGTTCCACAGGTCTAGACAGGGGCCTCAAAGGACAAACTGGTAGTAAAATCATTTTCCCAGGAATGTAAGTATCTACAAACCCTCTCCCTTAGACACCTGTCCCTGCATATTACAGGTCCCCACCCCCCATGGTACCCCAGGGGGCAGGATAGAAGTAGCTCCTACATCTCAGTATTGGCCAGATTCCTGCTAAGGGGTCTCTACAAAGAGGAGGTTCAGGTACAGGGATGAGCCAGGACTCCCAGGTTCTCCTGCCTCTGACTCCTCTAGTCCCAAACTTCAACTACTGGCCTGAGAAAGGGGCTCTGCTATGCTTCGTGCCAAGGGTCTATTCTAATATGACCTCTAAGCCATCATCACACAGAGAGGAAAATGGGCCTGGTGTAGTAGAAGAAGGCTCTCAAACTTACACAATAGCTGAAGACAGTGATCAAATTAACATTTGAGGCCAGACATCTCTTCTTGCCACCCAGGTCTCTGTCTCCAAAATACCCTGGCCTTGCAGAGGATAACCATGACAAGTGTTATATCCCAGAGGATGAGCCCCACTGTATGCATCCCAACCAGATGACAGGAAGGAAAAGGCAGAAAGCCTGAGATGAACACCCAATGGGACCTTCAGAGATGACAGAGCCCTGAAAGGAAAGGGCTGAGTCCAGCTGGGCTGCAGCAAGCTCTTGTTCTCAGCCCTTGCCCTCCTGTCTTCCTATGTTTGGAGCAGCCTAGGCCAGGCCTGGTTGAGGGAGCCCTCCATGTGTTTGTACCAGGGCAGAAATCCCAGAACCTCCAAGGCTGGGGATGGGTCCTTTTGAGCTGGCCTTCTATTTCCCACAGTCTCCCATCTCAGCTGTTTTAGGGAAGGGGAGGTGCCCTGTGAGGGAGCCCGGGCCTGGAAATTAATCAGGGGATGCAGGGGATGAGATAAACGTGGCTTTGAGGACTGAGAGATTTGACCCTCTTATTGGAAAGTTTTTTAGTTTTTTGTTTGTTTGTTATGTTTTTGAAGGGGTAAGGGAATAGCATTGCAAGACTGATCCATAGGGACACAGGAGGTCACATATGGCTCAGCAAAATCCACACAGAACAGAACCCCCATCTAGGATGGTTAAAACTGCTGCCCCAGCCCATCTCCACTGACACCACAGCTTTGAGGACTCGATCCAAACTTCTCTCCAAAGAATTAAGCCCCCTTATCACACTGGCTCTGGGAAAGGCAGGCAGATAAGGTGAGTCTGCTTTCTCTCACCACGGGGCCTCTGACACCCAGCTCTTGGCAGTTATTACTGAGCGACTGTATTGCTTTTACCATGGGGAGCCAGAGGCTCCAGCTTAGCTGAGGATGACATCTCTAGGGAGCAATGTACTGCCAGCCTCCTGGGCCTAGGCCTGACCTCAGGCTGCAGCCATGCACTCCAGGACCTCAGCCTCCTGGCTCCCTCCTCTCAGACAGACAACAGCAGTGACTCTTCAGACAGTTTTGTTAACCAGATCAGCTAGGCACAAAATTGCCTAGCCTGCTCACTGCACTGAGCCCAAAAGGGCTGAGCCAATCCCTCTTGGTTTAATTATATGTATGGGGGGGGGGTGACCCGTGCCTGCGGAGGACAAAGCAATTGGATCACCACCACCCCCTTCCCTGAGCTAGAGTTACCGTCAATCCTGAGCTGCCTGGCATAGGCGCTGCAAATGGAAATCAGGTTCTTTGCATGAGCAGCATGCACTATAAATCACTGAGCAACCTCTCCACCTCTACATTCACCACCACCACCACCACTATCACTCCAGCCTCCTCACACCTTGGTTTAAATACAGGGAAACTGAGGCCTAGCTAAGAGAAGATGTCTAAAAGCTATTTCATCAGGCTGCTGTCCTCTTCCTCCTCCAAGGCTTTCTTGATCATCTCACCGCCCCTAGTCACAGGTTTTTAAGGTCCATGTGCTCAAAAGTGGATGAACTAATCAACCCCTTCAGTGCATTTACATGCTGGGCACAACCCACATCTAGTCCCCCTTGCTTCCTATAAGTGGGGTGGTAAAATACCTCCACAAGGTCTGGCCACCATCCAAGAGGTGCAGCCACCATTGGCTTGTAGTCACAGGATGAGATCTTCACACAAAGCACGCCACACACACATCACAGACACAGTATATAAGAAACCACACATCCCTCCTTCAAGCACCCATCTGGGACTCAGTCCTTGCTCATGACCAAGCAGTACTCACTATCAGAAACCAGCTCAAAGCCTGTGTGGGTGCCCCTGCAGGGAGTACATCTGGGGTCAGGCAAGGTGAAGTAGCCTTAAGCCCAAAGAGCCAGTGACCAAGGTCTGTGCAGCCTCTGGTCCAATTGGAGAAGGGCCATTGTCCACCCATAATGCTCAGCTACACTTGCTTCTCACTATGACAGAACCTTTCTCAGGACCTCAGACTACTCTGCAGCTCCTGGGCCTTTGTCCTCATTCCCAACAGGCTGGAGCATCCTTTGCTGACCCCAGCTCCTCAAGTCTCCCCCAGCATATACCTCTGCCTCTGTTTCATGTCCAAAACGTTCCTTGTCTGCTGACTCCCACTCCAGAACTCCTGTCCCAGGCAGCTCACCTGACTCATCCTTTCTGCTCGGACCATCATAGTTAATTTGCCTACGGGGCCTAATTCCTTAGAATTGAGACATTCCCTCTTACAGGGAAGGGGAAGGCTCAGAAAACTCACTGAACATAGGAGGCTTGGAAGCTCAGAAAGTTACAAGACTCACCAGGTCCTTCCCTGAGATTATATGGACAGTAAATAGCTGCTGGAGAGATGACTCCCTGCTGGAGAGATGACTGCCTGCACAATGTGTGGGGAGCTCTGCGGCTGCGGCTTTCATGAGTCATCACCTTTGCAAGTGTGTGCTTTTGATGTTACAGCTGCCTTTGAGTCACCCATGTGCCTGTAAATAACCCCAATAAACTAATTGGTTCACTAAGCCAGTCTTGGGTGCTCTCTGGAGTGAATAGATGTTTGTTCACATCTCCTGGGGAAAAGTCACAAACTCATCTCCATTCACCCTCTACCCTACCACCCATCCCTGAGGGAGGGTAGTAGGTCCAAGGAGAACCCTGTTCCTCCCCACCCAGCTCCCCCACTCCTGTACCTGATGAATTATAGTAAATTCCCATTTTAAAAAGTCACAGCTGGAGAAACACATGCATACACATGTGCGGGCATGGGATTCAGATCATTTTTCTTAAAACTTGAACAGCTGCCTCCACAAGTTACAAAAGGGTGTTAAAACTTCAAAAGCAAATGATAGCACAGTGTACTAGGCACATGTGAGCTAACACACTGGTATAAAACAGTAGCAGTTTTATACCAGGGGCATGCATATCATCATATGCATAGGACAGATTTAAGTGTACATATTTCTAGATACTTCATGTGAAACACTGGGACACCAGGAGCTCACCACCTCCCACCCCACCCCCATCTAAGGTCATCAAAGGCCTTCACAACTTATGCCTCCCTTGTACACCTGAAAGCTCCACTCTAGCCTATGAGCACTGTTGGCCATTCTGAGGCAACGTGCACAGTGTCCATATTTGCAGCAAGCACAGCAAGAGCAGAGCCTCCATCACTAAGGCCTCCTCAAATACCCACTGCAAAAGGACCAGCAGGGCATCTCTGCTCACTCTATTGCCACTGTTCAGTCTGGGGCCATCTCTATCCAGGCTGAGACCTCCAGGGACAAGGACCTCTCTGAGCCGCTCCTGCTGAAGGGCAGGTGCAGTGTGCTCAGACCCAGACCCTGAAAACCTACCCCCGGAGCACATTCCAGATCAGGATGGAAAAATCCCACCTAAGGGCCACTGCACACACCATGGAAACGTTCTAAGCAGGCCCTGCCACTCCAGGAGGCCGTGCCCAACGTAGTAACACTGGTCCACACCGGCCTCTGCCCCGCCACTGACCCCAGAAATCTAGACAGCTAAAGGCCAGTTTCCCCTCCTCGCTGTTCCCAGTAAAGGATATGCCCCCTACAAAGTCAGTTCCCAAACACAGCTACTGAGCAGCCTGGGCCAAGCGCGCGCGCGCGCGCACACACACACACACACACACACACACTGCAATTCAATTGGGGTTAATCTACAACCCAAGCGGTCAGTGAAGCAGCAACACAGGACGTGTGAACAGAGCCGATGTAGGGGGCAGGTAGAAGGTGCTGACTATTCCAACTCAGGCAAGAGGGAACTATCAAAGACCAAACCTTGGCGTCCAAATTCTTAAAGTCGGGGCAGATGGAAGAGGGCAGATCTCAAGGCAAAAACACTACCCGGCTCCAAGACAAGTGCAGCTGGCCCCGACTCAAACAATGTTTCTCCTCTTTTTTGTTTGTTTTTGTTTTCTTCAGCTCTGGAGAGCTACTGTAACCCGGGTTACCCAGTCCCAGCGGCAGGTGGAGGTAAAGCTCTCAGACCAGAGGACGCCCGCCAGCGCACGCACTCGGAGCCGAGGGGCTACACCAACAAACTCAACCCTACCCCCCCCCCCAAGCATGCTCTTGTATGTTCACATCCAGCTCGCAGCGCCCCTGGGGCTCACCGGACTGCGACCCGACAGCGAGAAGGTGGCGTGGCTGGAGAAGCGTGCGGTGCCCAGGCGGGGGGCGCGGTCTGTAACTGTGGCCGCCGGAGGGGGACTGGGCGTGCCGGGTGCGGGGGACACACCAGTCGCCAAGCCCAGCGTCTCCACCTGGCGGGTCAAGCGTTCGAGCTGCGCTTGCAGCCGCTGGTTATCCCGCTGCAGATCGGCCACTGTGCGAGCCAAGGGGCCGGCCAGGCGCAGCGCCTCGGCCACGCGCCGCTCCACGCCGCGTTGCAGCCCCTGCATGTCCTCGTGCAGCGCACGCACCGCACCCTCCAGCGCCGCCTCGTAGCGGCCCAGCGCCTCGCGCACCGTGTGAGCCTCCTCGGCGTCGGGGGTCGGCTCCATGGCCGTGCCGCGCGCACTGGTCCGACAGCAGGCAGAACTCGGGAGAGGACTAGAGACCTGTAGCTCCTTGCTGCAACTGGAGGGCTACGGCTGGCTGCGCCTGAGGGACGGACGGAGGGGCGGGAGCAGGGCGGGGCAGACCCCGAGAGCCCCGGGACTGGGCGCTGCGTTGGAAGGCGGAGTCTGGGGGGGCGGGACAGCCCGCTCCCGGACACCCCGCCCGTGGGGACTTGCCTAGCTGGTGCGGGATGCCTGGCCTCGGAGGCATTGGTGGAGAACTCGCCCTCTCTCCTTTGCAGGTGCGCGGTTCCATGGGGCAGTAAGGAGTCCCAGTCCCATACCCACTTAACCCGAGAGGAGTGATGTGCAGCCGGGGAAAAGATCTGGGACCCACCGGAAGAAGACTCTCAAATGGACGTTACTCTAGGAACAACAACCAGGAGAGTTACGCATTCCCTCTAAGTTCTCACCTGGAAGGACATGGATTCTGCTTTGGTTGGGACCGCTCTCCTTGTTCAGGGAACCTCGGCAACTGCACTCCCCTGTATAACCGCTCTGAGTCACCCTTGTATGCATCTCCAGTAGCCACCAGTACCATCCGGTTCGCAAGACTTTTTAAAAAATATTTCTTTTCTTTTATGTGCATGAGTGTTTTGCCTTCCTTTCTGTATTTCCACAGTATGTGTGCCTGGTGCCCACAGAAATCACAAGAAGGTGATTCTCTGAAACTGGAGTTCCTGATTGTTGTGAACGGTGAGCCCCATGTGTGTGCTGAGTCGCTCAGGGGGTTCTCTGCAAGAGCAACAAGTGCTCTAAACAGACCCCCACCTCAGAGACTTTTGCCTGGATTTTCTTGAACCCGTTCTGAGAGCTCAAGGAGAGGAAGACAAATGGTGAAGTGACCTCCCATACTTCCAGGCCGTGTGTGTGTGTGTGTGTGTGTGTGTGTGTGTGTGTGTGTGTTCCTCCATCAGCGGCCAGTGAGAACTTCAGGATGACAAAGGCCCTGTTAAGAGATCCAGAAGAGGCTGAGGATGAACATGGAGGTTAGGGCCAAATTTCAAAAATCTTGCAATGAGCAGCTTTGGGATCAAAAGCCAATCTGCGCTGATCTCCCCCTCCCCACTCCTAAGCTCAGTCAAGAACATCTACCCACGTGCCAACCTTCAACCCCTTTTTATCTCCAGCCCTCTTATCGCTAATTCCAGAGAGTCCCCTTCTAAGCCTACAAACCCCAAACACCACCAAAGAAGGAAGGATGGAGGCAGTTGTTGCTTAGAATAACAGTATGATAGACGTAAACATTTAAAATACAGATGAGAACATCTCATTCTTTGTTCGAAAAGGCTGTCTAATTAGCTTTCTCTGGGCCTGGGCTGTGGAAGGAGGGCCAAAGACTAGACAGGCTTAGGGAGATGATCCACAGGAAGAGGCTTCCAACAATGTCTGGGAGCCTCCAGACCCTCCTAGATTGCCCTTTCCTTCCCCTTAGGAGCTGGGTCAGCCTAACAGATGCTAAGGGTTGAATCCCCTCCCCTGAGTAGGGACAGGAAGGAACACTGGGTTACCTAATCCAAGAAGCTTTCCAGCAATTATTTCATGGGAAAGTCAAGTGCCAAAAGGCGTGCATGTTGCACGTCTGTGTGTGTGTTCCAAGCAGCCGTCTGGACAGGGTGAGCCAAACCACTCCTTGCATTCTTTCTCCGGGTGGAATCTTTGATAGAGACCTGGAGAGGGGCCACTGCAACAGCTTATGTCCCAAACAGTGCTGACCACCCTACAGGTCTGAACCCTGCAGTCAGAGAAGTTCAGCTTTTCCTTTGCAGAATTAGGGAAGCAGAGGCTGTCTTACAGAGACCTGGACAGGTTAGTTCCTGACCTCCTGGGCAGCAGCATAGTTGGAATGGGGTGTGAGGGAGGGGGGTTGAAGATGCTTAGAAGATATCTTCCACACCTTCCAGGAGAAAGTGGGTGGGACTAAGGAGGAGTAGGTAAACAATGTAGAGACCCGCCAAGGACCCAGACATACTCCACAACCTCAACTAAGTTATCTGGTCCCTCCCGAGACATTGTGGGAAGGCCTAAGAGCTGCTTGGGTGGGAGGGCAGAGCAGGATTTCCCCTGGGGCCAGAAATAGGGACTCAGTTGAAGGTAGAAATTAGGTCTCACTGTAGGTTAAGAGGGTGTAGGACTCAAACCATTCTCCTACCCCTAAAGTCTTGTCCCTTAGCAGTCAAACCACCTCTAAGTTATAGATAAGCCTGGGGTACTAGCAGAGTGAAGAAGATGAGGAGGAAAGATGGGAATGAGAGGGAAGGATATCTTGAGCTGAAGAAAAGACCAATACCACCCTAGAGCCTGGCTCCAACACAGATGGGGGAGGCAAAGTTCTGCTCCCAGCCCTGGACTCCTCTCAACCCCTCCTTGGAGGTCCCTCTCTCACCCTCCCCTGGACAGCTCCTGGCCTGTACCAGGCTGTGAGGGAGATGAGCACAGACCAATCAGGCTGAACTCCTCTGCATTCACCAGCCCTGATGTCAGAGCAAGTGAACGGCAACCTCCCACGGAGTGTTCTGGCACCTGCCCTCCAGCTTCCCTCACTGACCCCAGAGCCTGCTGTTTCCTCCCTCTGCTCAGGGTCTATATTGCATCAAACTTTCTCCTGTCAGTCACCTCACAAAATCAAACACATGTCAGGCCCAAACACAAAGTAGAAGTTAGAGTCACGGAGTTGATATGGAGAAACTGAGGCCAGGAGAGGGGCAGAGATTGTCTCAAGGCCGTTAGGCATGACACGTAAAAACAGAAGTAGAATTAAGAAGGGTGCTGGCCTAACTGGAGAACTTTCCCCTCTCCTCTCAGTCAGAGTCAGCTGGTTTTAAGCAGTACGTCTTTTCTCTCTAGGTTGGCTAGGAGCTCAGATCCCCTGCGGTTGCTCTTCTTGTTTCCTAGGTTCTGCCCACCCACCCGGTGGCACTTCTCCACCCCAGCTTCCATCAGTGTTCATGCTTCAGTGCATGAACAGTACATGGGGCATCAGGTTATGCTGCAAAGATACAGGTCTTGCAAACTTTCCTCTGGAAATGCCATAAACAAGTGCTTTAAAAGCATTGGATGACAGGATATCTGGGAAGAGGGATCCCAGCAGGACTGTTGGATGGGTGACAGTGGGCTGTGAGAGAGGACAGAAAAGCAAGGGTAGCTTCCAAATTCTGACTTTAGGGATACTCACTAAAATGAGTCCCCTAGAAAGTGCATTCCAGGGAATTGCAGAGGCTCATGAACCAAATCTCCATGTTACATTCAGCCTTAGCACAGGGCCAAAGGAAGGGCTAAGCCCACTCCCCCTGAGTCCCCAAATCCATCCTCTGCCCCTGGAAACTGTGCCTTGTTATGTTATCCATAATGATGGGGAGGTGGGGCTTACATTTATCTTTTCCTGCCAGGCTGCTAGGTTCAGGAGCCAAGTGGAGCCAGATAAGGAGGGAGGTAGAGATGTGGAGGAACTGAAGAAGCAGAGGCCTCAGCATGGGAAAATCTTGGAGTCTCCAGGTCTTATCATCCTGGGGGGGGGGGACTCAGGCACTACCCAGGAAAAAGATACATGAGTCTTGGATCTCTTCCCCTCCTCTCTACCTACCTAACACAAAGCCTTGGAGACTGAGTCTCCAGCAGATTGGGAAGAGACCCTCATACCCTAGCAAACCCTACCCCTTCCACCAAACACTGCTTAAACTTTTCTTCTCTCTCGTGAGAAACACTGTGCTACACACTAATGAACACTTTTTAATTTTAATTTTTAATTGTGTGTGCTCGCGTTCACTCGTATTGGTTTGTACACATGAGTATAGTGCCCTCAGAGGTCAGAAGAGGGCATCAGATCTCCCGGAACTGAAGTTACAGCTACCTGATATGAGCGCAGGGAACTGAACTCGGGACCTCTGGAAGAGGGCTCAAATGCTGAGCCCTCTCTCTAGCTCCTAATGGGCATTTTTAATGTTCATTTTTTTTCCATATATCTGAGGGTATGTCTGTCTGTGTATGTATCATGGGTAAGGAGAGATGAATTATTGAGTCTACTATTCACATACAACTGCTCATATATGTGGTGGGTATACATTTGTAAGGATACATGTTTAAAGGAAGAATTTCTTTCTTTTTAAGATTTATTTCTTTATTTTACATATGAGTGCTCTATTTGCATGTACATCTGCATGACAGAAGAGGGCACCAGATCTTATTATAGATGGTTGTGAGCCACCATGTGGTTGCTGGGAATCAAACTCAGGACCTCTGGAAGAGCAGACAGTGCTCTTAACCTCTGAGCCATCTCTCCAGCCCCAAGAATTTCTTTTTTTATTTCTTTGGTTTTGGGTTGTTTTGTTTTGTTTTGAGACAGGGTCATATGTAGTCCAAGCTGGTCTCAAATGCTCCACACAACTGAAGATAACCTTGAATCCCTGGTCTTTGCTTCCTAAGTGCTGGAATTATAAGCATATTCCACCATGCCCACCTTTGTAGGAGATATTTGTTCATAGGTAGCCAATATATGTTGATCTGTACACATATATAGGTAGATTTACAGTACATAAACTAGTATAAACATCAGATGTTGAGGACAAATATGGCCTATATTGCCCATGTGCTTGGACATATGTGATATATATGTATATGTGTGTGTGTGTGTGTGCGCGCGCGCGCATAGGTTTATATTAATTACACGTTCCTTGTGTATATCATCAGATGAGCCTGAGTTTAGACATACATATCATATATCCTACTTCTGGCTGACTCTAATCAGATCTAGAAGTCTCTCTGAAAGGCACAGGTTCTGAGTTCTATGAGAGCTGTTCTAAAGAGATTCTGTTGTATCAAATTCTGAAGGAAAACCTTGTTTGGGCAAGGGGTGAGAAAGAATTGAGCTTCCCTGCCCTCCTGGACCAACACTGGGCTTCTTGTCCCACAGAAGGAGGAATTTCCTACAGCCTTGTGCTGAGGCCCAGGTTACAGTGAGGACAAACACCATCCATTTCAGCCTGAAGTGTAAGGATTGA